TACGTTGAACCCGCGCAATCCTCATGGGGCCCGGCGCGGACAAGGGGGCGTCGATCCGGGAAACGCCCCCTCCGCCAGTCCCCCCCCCCCTCACTCTCCGACGCCCGGAGCCGCCCCTTTATCATAAGAATGCTCGCGCGTCGCTCGGCGTGAGCGGCGAATTTAAAGTGGGCCGCAGAGCGAGGAGCATGAGGACGTGTTACGGAATGATAATATTGCGATTCGCATCCCGGTTGGGCGGCGCGGCGAAAAAGAGACGACGGGGGCCAACCGGGTGCCAGCCGCAGAGAGCGGGGATAGGGTGTTTCCAAAAAAAAATATGTGGGGGGCGGGGGACGTTTTCTGATTACATCACCCTCCTTACTGTTAAAAAAGAAGTCAGAACTTCACAAAGAATTTGTTGTCAAAAAAGTTTCCAGAACTCTTCGGTTTTTGAAATCGAACAACTTTAGATGTAAAAGGGCTATTTCAAATTACGATAGCATGATGCTCGACTTTAGAGTACGAAGAAGTGTTGGGATTACGCAATTGCTCCGTACAGTAGTGTTGGGAAATCTCAAAATATTTTTTTCTTGTTACCTGTACGTGGCGCTGTTTCAGAGTCCCACGCCGCCGCAGTACGTGTTCTGGTACCACAACGACAAGATGATCAACTACGACACCCAGCGCGGAGGCATCTCGGTCGAGACCGAGCCCGGGCCGCGCACGCAGAGCCGCCTCACCATCCGGGACGCGTCCGACGCCGACTCGGGCAACTACACGTGCTCCGCGTCCAACACCGAGGCCGCCTCCATCTTCGTGTTCGTGTCGGAAGGTGAGTGAGCTGAGCAGATGGCTGGTTTAGAAAACAATCACTCACTCCTAACGCGTTTTTAAAAAAAATAATTTAGTGTATTAATATTTTCATGCACGACCGCTTTATTTTCGTGTGACAAGTGACATTTGTTGTATTATTGTATTTTTGTGAGATGGGGTCTATCCTCTGGTCGGCGGGCGCTCCGCCTGCCTGGTCGCAGACAGACAGACAGACAGACAGACAGACAGACAGACGGACGGACGGACGGGCTCCAGGTGAGACGGGGCTGGCGCGCGGCCAGGGCTAGCCGCGCAGTACCGTTTAGTGCAGCGCCGGCCGCGCCAGACAGTTTTAAAAG